TTTTTTTTTTAAAGATACAATTCACACAACATAAATGAACATTTTATTTTATTTTAAAGATTTTATTGGGAAATCAGGGGAAGGGAACAGTGTTGGGGAATTGGAGAAGAGGACTGGCCAAGTTGTTCATCAGTCTTTGTTGTGGAAGGCGCTAGTCGCCATCTGGCTTCCCGTCAGCAGCTCGTGGCCTCTAAGCTCAAGGTGCTGTGTTACAATCTTAGTTGTGGGTGGGTGGAGCCACCATCCCATGCGGGAGTCAAACCAGCAGCCTTGTTTTTAAGAGTACACGCTCTATCCACTGAGCCATCAGGCGGCAGCTCAGCTCAAGGTGCTGAGTTCATTCTTAGTTGCAGGTGGGCATAGCCCACCATCGAACAGGCAATCCTGTTGTTACATCCTGCCACCTGTTGGCAGCTCAGTGGCAGCTCAGCTCGGGCGCAGCATCACTGGCCCATGTGGGAATCGAACCAACAGCCCTGTTGCTCAGAGCTTACACTCTTAAGCCAACTCTTAACCAACTGAGCCACTCGGCCAGTCCCTAAATGAACCATTTTAAAGTGTACAGTTCAGATTGGTTCTTAGTATGTTTTTTTAAAAAAATTTTTTATTGGGGTACAGTATGTTTTTCCAGGACCCATCAACTCCAAATCAAGTCATTGTCTTCAATCTATTGTAGTTGTGGAGGGTGCAGCTCCATGGCCCAAGTGAGAATCAAACCGGCAACCTTGGTGTTATGAGCCTGCACTTTAACCACCTGAGCTAACCGGCTGCACCTATATTTTTCAGTTTTTAATATATTTACTAGTGTGCAACCATCACCATTGTCTAATTCCAGAACATTTTCAGCACCCCTAAGTTAAACTCCATACTCACTAAATAGTTATTTCCCATTCTTCCTCCCCTCATTCCTGGTCATGTTATTCCAGGCCATTGGGTGACCCAGGGAAACTGCTTGTTAGAAATTTACAAAACTGACGGAAAAGGGACAATGAGTCAACAGAGAGTTGGAGCAATTTCACTAAATACACTCAGATTTCTGGAATTTTTGATGAAAGGATATCTGTCTGTACAGAGAAGGAATAGAACCTGAGCCCTTGTGCTCCGTGAGGTGGTGATTTTTCTGTGGTCGCATATTCATGTCCCATAGGCTGTGCTGGGCAGATCCAGCTTTGCTCTGGAAGTAGCAAGAACTGAGGGGGCCGGCCGAGTGGCGCGTTGGTTAAGAACTGGCTTGGGACGCCAGAGGGCCCTGGTTCGGATCCCACATATGAGGGCCAGTGACACTGCCCTCCACAGCTAAGATGCCGAACAACAGCTCAACCTGAAGCTGGGCTTCCGTGAGTCGTTGGTGACGGCGTAGGCTGCAGTGGGTTGCCATGGGCTACCGTGTGTAGCCAGCAGCCAGCGTGAGCGGCCGTCCAGAAGCCCGCGACTGATCTGCCTCACCCGGTAAGAGCGCAGTGATGGTGCCAACTTGGGCCAGTGAAGCGACGTCCTCCACAACTACACTGAAGAACAAAAGGACAGCAACTTGTCTGTTTCTCTTCCCCAATTCCCCAGCGCTGTTCCCATCCCCCAATTCCCCAATAAAAGTCTTTAAAAAAAAAAAACTGAGAGAAAATGCTCATTCTTAGCCATGGTCCCCTTAATAGGTCAGCTCTCTGATAATCAGTGACTGTCACTGATCAGTAACGTGACTCATGTGCAAGTCCTTGTCTTCTTCCTCCTTTCCATTTTCCTACCTATCAGGTGGGCCTTCTCTTCTGTCCGACCCCTGCATGCATGTTGGCTACACATGAGAGTCACCGTCTCTGGTCTGTGTGGTACAGCTGTCCCCCACCAAGCAAGCCCCACCCAGATGGGACAGTTGTGTGTCCTTCATGATTTCAGGCTAAACATTTATAGTTTTATTTTACCTAAATGGCATCTTGGTACACATAATTTGTTTTCCTCATCCTCAGCCCTGTGTATATGTCACCTCACACAGGAAAAGGGACCACATGGTGTGATTAAGGGTCTCAATTTGGGAGGTTGTCCTGGGTTAGTCGTGATGGTGCTGTGTAATCCCAGGGTCTGTACAAGAAGAGGGAGGAGGCTCAGTCCAAGGAGGAGATGTGACAAAGACGCAGAGAGTGACAGATCTGACGTTTTGCTGCTGGCTTCGAAGATGGACAACAGGGCCAGGAGACAAGGAAAGGAGCTGGCATCTAAAGCTGGCAGAGGCGGGTCCTTCCTCCAAAAGGAAGCAACGCTGCTGAAACCTTGGTTTAGGACTGAGCTTCAGCGCTGGTAGACAATAAACTTGCATTGCTTTAAGCCACTAAAGTTGTGGTGGTTTGTTATAGCAGCAATAGGAAACCAGCAGCCACAGTGGGATTTGGAAATTGAGATGGCAGCCATCAGGCCTTCCTGGTGTTGGCTCTTGCTGGAATGATCAGGGCCCCATGCTCAGCTGCTTGCATTTGCAGTGAGGTCACCAGACCTGAGAGCCCAGGCTCCCAGGCACAGGTAAGGGGGGGGGGTGGATCTGGCACCCAGCCCTGCTGCCAGATAAGTCCCATCTCACACCTCCCAGAAGAGCATGCTGTCAGTAGGCTGGTGGTCAGCAGTGAAAGGGGATTCTGAGAATGGGTAGCTGAGCAATTGGGATGTCCCTGTTGCTTGGAGGGGGTGCTGCTGGAGTCCCAAGCCAGGGGTGATGGTTCAGCAGCCGGTGAAGAGGAGGGATGATGCCAGGGACCAGAGAGAGGCAGGGAAGGTGGTGCGTTGGTGGCAGTTTCAGGCATGGCCAACCCGAGAATAAGGGCAGGAGGCTCTAGGGTTCCAATATTTCAGTGTCATTCCTTCTCCTTTTCCCTAGGCTGTGGAGAGCTGGGGGTGACCCAGAAAGCATCAGTCCTGGGATCCTCATTCTTTGGCCCAGTTCTCCACCTTTCCCCTCCTGGGAACTGTCAACCTCCCTTTCTCTGCCAGATCGTACAGCAGGACACCATGTTGGGGGCTGGACCCACGATGAAGGCTTGGGCCCAGAACTCTGGGCAGGGAGACCCAGGGAACCCAGATCCCCAGGAAACCAACAGGGGCCAAGAGGAGAGACCCAAGACAGAGCTGAAGCCCCTGGCAGAGGACCTAGCCAAGAGATGCCCTCTCACAAGGGAGACCTGTGTGGAGGGACAGCAGGTGGCAGGACGACTTCCCAAGGTGGGGGCTCCAGGAGCTGGGGCCTTGGTGTGAGCCGCAGCCCGGAAACCCATCAGACTGCAGGAGCCATGTGGCCCCACCTCCTCTCAGGAACCTGACTTGGTCACCCCCCAGGGGCTGAATGCTGGGGAGGGCCCCTATTGGTGCCCAGCGGGTGCCAGGGCCTCCAGCCATAACTCATGCTGGGCTCTGCATCACAGATCGCCCCCTGGGGAGAAGCCTCCTATGTGTGACCAATCTGGGGGCCAAACATTGCTCTTCAGCTGCCCCTGGGCTCAGCTGTGCGAGGTCCGCACAGATTATCCATCTGGCAAACAGATTCCTGAGGACCCTGCATCCGACCCTCCTCCAGCAGAGCCCCCTAGTGGGGCTGCCTGGCGCAGGCCCATGTAGTGAGGCCTTTTGCCTGGAGGGCCGCGCTGGCCCTGCAGGACCAGGGGCAGGTGGCAGAGGAGCTCCGAAGCCCCCATGAGCAGCAGCAGATGGGTGAGGTTCCGTGCGGCTTGGCCTCGGGTTCTTGCCCCAGTGCCCCCCCCCAGCCCAGGGGCTGTATGTGTGTGACAAGTCAGCAAGGCTTTCACGCGCACCTCGAGCCTGCTGCAGCACGAGCGCATCCACAAGGGAGAGCGGCCATACGAGTGCGCAGAGTGTGGCAAGACCTTCATGCGCTGCTCCGGCCTCTACAGCCACCAGAAGAGACACACGACTGAGCGCCACCGCCGAGGTCTGGCCCTGGCCCAGAGGTCCTTTCTGTTGAGGCGCCTGCCTTGTGGAGACTGTGGCCAAGGCGTGCCCGTTGCCGAGGAGAAGCCGTATGCGTGCCCCGAGTGCAGCAAGGCCTTCAACCAGCGTTCCAACTGAGCCAGCACCAGCGTACACACACCAGCGCCAAGCAGTACGCGTGCCCTCTGTGCGAGAAGGTCTTTAAGGGCCGCTTGCGCCTGCTGCAGCACCAGCACGCGCACACCAGCGAGCAGCCCTACGCATGTGCCCAGTGCGGCCGTGCTTTCAGCCAACGCTCTAACCTCGACGAGCACCAGAAGCAGCACCGCGTTGCGCCCTAACCCGGGGATCCCCCCTGAGTGAGAGGTTGTGAGTAGGGTGTAGAGGCTGTGAGCAGGGTGCACTGGGAGGCGGTGAGCTTAGGACCCAGCCCCCACGGGGGCTGCACGTGCTGGGAGCGACCGGTGCAGAGGATCACGGCTGGAGAAACTCCCTACGATGGCAGCCCCCCTGGTGAACCTAGGCCAGGTTGGGGACAGGTGTAGCTGGGAGGTGGTTCACAGTCCTGAGAGGGGTGCATCCCTGCAGAGACAGATCTTCAAGTGGTGGCTGCTTAATGAGGGTGTCCTTAGGAATGAAACTGATGGGTAACTTACTAAAAAGCTATTTGACCTATGTGACAAATTCTCCAGATCTGGTGTTCAGAAGCCTGACTTGAAATGTCACAATAAAGACTCATTGTGTCACCCAGATTCTAGACCTAGGTCGTTCCCAGATGCAGTGTATGTCTCTGGATTGAAGGGAGACCAATACCTCTTAAGGAAGGACCAGCGTTGCCACAAGGATAGACAAATCTTCCTCAAAGGACCGGCACCGTTTTTCGTGGGGGCAGGAAATACCCAGATCAGGAATAGAGAGAGACTTGGTGACTTGAGGCTAAATCCTCAAGCACTCTGTGGAGTTTCATTGTGATCAGATAACAAAATGAGTTTGGGCTTCTTGTTTCCCCTGCACACCCATGTGGTCATGTCCTCAGTTCCTGGATAAGTATGTAATTGGAAGAGACATTCAGCAATGGCAGAATCCCCAAAATGACTCTGCTCCCCACAGGGCAAGGACCCTTAAGGTAGGAAGGTCCAAGCAGAAGCCCCTGGAACACCCCCTCCCTGCCAAGATGGTAAAGCACAAGCAATACCACATTCCCGGGGGAACTGCAGAAATCAGTGCCACCATCGAGGACCTGAAAGACGCAGGGGTGGTGATTCCCACTGCATGCCCCCTCAACCCTCCTATTCCGCTGGTGCAGAAGGTAGGTGGGTCCTGGAGCATGACAGTGGGTTATTGTAAGCTTACCAGGTGCTGCTCCAGCTGTAGTTGCTGTACCACATGTATCATGATACCTGGCAAGTCAGTTCAGTTCCAGATACAAGTGTCATAAGGTCTCCAGCTTCATCTGATCCACCCAGTCAGCTCTGTTCCAAACCCCAGGGTCCCCCTCCTGTCCAGGAAGTGCCCTAATTCTCACATATGACAATTCAACATAATTCAGGTTGTAATTCTGAAATATGTGCAATTAAATTTTGTATTTAAGTTTCAGCTATATATTCCCTTTGGCTAGAAAGAGTCAGAAATTCTTTTAGGGCCTTGAAGCTCTCTGATGCTCCCTGTCTTGAGCTAAGAATTTAGAGCCCTGAACATGTCATTTTCTTTCTGCAACCTCTGCAGTGATATAAGGTCGCCATTGGTGCCATCAACTCCCCACTGCAGTGGCCACTCGGTTCCCCAAGGCACAGGCTTCAGCTGACACCTCATTTCAAGCAACCACAGGTGACAGTTTAATTAAATGACACCTGCCACCTACCATGATTGCCAGCACCCCATATTCTGTTGGCAAGGAGTTTAGCACTGTGCTCCAGAACCAAATCAAACCCAGAATCCAAACTTTGAGAGTCTGTTTCTTGGGATCCCTCTTTTTTTTTTTTAATATTTTTTATTTTTGCGGGAGGAATTGGGGCAGGGGAACAGCATTGGGGAATTGGGGAAGGGGAACAGACAAGTTGCTGTCCTTTTTTGTTCTTCAGTCTAGTTGTGGAGGATGTCGCTTCACTGGCCCATGTTGGTATTATTATTGCGCTCTTCCCGGGTGAGGCAGTTGCACACCGGCCATTGGACAGCCGCTCACGGCTCCTCATGGCAGCTCACGAAAGCTCATGCCTGCTGCTGGCCAGCCCCTCCACTGCAGCCTACACTGTCGCCAGCAACTCTCGGCAGCCCAGCTTCAGGTTGAGCTGTTGTTCACCATCTTAGTTGTAGAGAGTGCTGCATCACTGGCCCTCATGTGGGATCTGAATTGGGGTCCTGCTGCTCAGAGTGGCGTCCCAAACCAACTCCTAACTAATGTGCCACTCGGCCGGCCCCTAATATTTTATTTTTGAAGTTGTATTTTTTATTTTTTCATTTAAATCATTTTGCTATTTATTGGTTTTCTTTATTTGTTATTGTTTGCTGTTTTTACTGTATTATTTTTTATCATTTATATTATTTATTATTAATTTAGTTTATTAATTATGATACTAATTATCATTATTGCTGAGGTTCCTGAGGCCATGGGGGTTCGCCCTTTGTCCCCACCCTCTGCGGGCTCCCGCCTTCTAAGGACAAACAGCGGTAAGAGGTCAGTGTCCAGCGCCGCCCCTGCTGTGTCACTGAGGCCTTATCACCCAGACACTTACTGGGCTGGAATGAGGCTGACCACCATGTCCATGCAGATGGTCTTCCTGCTGCTCTGGGGTGAGGCATCCTGGGCCTGGGTCCCCTGGAGAGGGAGGGCAGGAAGGGGCAGGAATGTGGACCTCACAGGCATGTCTCCACAGGTCTCTCCTTGAGCCCAGTGCTAGAAGCAGCCATAGGTGAGCCTGGGCCAGGCCTGGGGATGGTGGGCACACGCAGGGCCTGGGGATGGTGGGCACATGTGGGGCCTTCATGATGGGTGCGTGTGTGGTCTGGGGACAGTGGGCACATGCAAGGGTGCCCCTGTCCTGGTGTCCGGCTCTGAACCCCACCCCCACACAGCATTCGAGACACAGCCGATCCTGTGGGCAGAGGCAGAATCGCTCCTGGAACCCTGGGCCAATATGACGCTGACATGCCGGGCCCGCCTGCAGACCCCGAATTTTCAGCTTTTCAGGGATGGGGTGCCCCAGGAGCATGTGCACCTTGATTTAATCACCATGCAACACCAGTTCCCGCTAGGAGCAGTGACAGGTGACACCCGGGGCCTCTACCGCTGCCGTTCTGGCCTGGGCAGTGAAAGTGGATGGACCCAGCTGAGCAACCTGCTGGAGGTGACCGGGGCAGGTGAGCAGGGGTTTCTATGGGGCCAGCAGCAGTGGGAGGAGGCTGCTGGAGAGGCCTCCCTTCCTACACTCCTCACTCTCCTTGTCTTCCTCTTCTGAAGCACCTCCACCCAAGCAGTTAGGTGACTTTGGGCAAGTAACCTGACATCTCTGAACCTCAATTTCCCCATCTGTAGAGTAAGGGTGATGTTTGTACTGACCCCAGAAGGTTGTGAGGAAGAAATGCCTGATTCCCCACAAAGTGCTTAGGGCAGGCCTGGCACAGAGCAGGCCCCCTAATGCATCTTCCTTTCATTTTATGTCCATGTCCATCCACCCACCACACACACACACATTTTCATGAGTGTGGTCCACTATGTCTCTTAAGTCATGCAAACCTACAATTGACCCTGTCCCACCTGCAGAGTCCCTGCCCCCACCCCTCCTGTCAAGTGAGCCTGTGTCCTGGATCGCACCGGGCCTGAACACGACCCTGCTGTGCCGTGGGGGATTTCTGGGTGTGACCTTCCTGCTGAGGCGGACAGGTGATGATCAGTTTCTGGAGGTGGCTGAGGCCTCTGAAGACGTGGAGGCCACCTTCTTAGTTCACCAGGCTGGCAACTACAGCTGCAGCTACCGGACCCACGCAGCGGGCACCCCCTCTGAGCCCAGTGCCACTGTGACCGTGGAGGACCTGGGTGAGTGTGTGGACCATCCGGAGGGTTTCCTGGGGGAGGAGGTTCCTGGAGGATATAGCCCCCTTTACCTTGTCCCCCAACCCTGTACACCCCTGCCCAGGACTGGGAAACAGTTGCCTGGATCACAGCAGGCCTGAGTGCTACAATGCTGTGCGGTCGGGAGGTCTGAGGATGGGGGTTCCTGGGCTGCCACCAGCAGGGCGCAGGTCCGGAGGCTGAACTTTATCAGGGAAAGGGGTGTCAGGCCTCCGCTGTGCCAGCCACCCTCCCTGCCTTTTAGCGGCGTTGCCATCACCCACGCTGAGTGTCAACAGAGAGGCTGCAGAGGTCTTGCGCCCTGGTGAGGGAGCCACCCTGGTCTGCCAGGCGCCCCTGAGCGGCGTGGACTTCCAGCTGCGGCGCGGCGAGGAGGCACTGCAAGTGCCCATGAGCAGCACCAGCCCGGACCGCATCTTCTTCCAGCTGAACGCGTTGGCCTTGGGGGACAGCGGACTCTACACCTGCCGCTACCGCCTGCGCGACGAGCGCACTCCCTGGTCCGCGGACAGCGCGCCGGTAGAACTCCTGCTGATCGATGGTGAGCCTAGCGCTGCACCCTGGGCAGCGGGGGAGACACCCAGGGAAGGTCCCCGGGACTGCACGCCTGAGTCAGGGCCTAGTCCCGACTCATGTGCCCGGCCTCAGTTTCCCCAATTGAGAATGGGA